ATGTAGACGATTTTGAATTTAGGTATCTGGAAGGTTGAATCTTTTCATTTATGAGGTAGGTTTAAGTACCTACCTAGGTATTAAAGAAGGTCGGGTACCCTGCTCATCGCACCAGGTGCTCATAGGACCCCTCACAAAGAGGTAGGTACCTAGTAGGTATGGTTACACATTCGTAGGTAGCTAAAGATATCAAATCAATTGGACCCGATAATATGGCTTCCAAAGGGAGTTACAATACCTTAAAATTAGCTCGTTAGTACCTACTGAGATGTTGGTGTACGACGACCTTTCTCAACCCTCAATTCATGTAAGGCCGTTTCAATAGTACATACATACAACTAGCGCCACCCCACCCCCTTTTCTCTCTCCCGCTTCCCCTAGAAGGTCTAGTAATTGGGAAACATCCCAATGTCAAGAGGCTAATCCCCATTTAGGATGCATGAGAGAGTCATTGTGTATGATAGTTGATTAGAAGGTGGTGATTGCATGGGAGGTATGTGATATTAGGTTATGCAGGAGAGGTTGGACAAGGTGTTGGTCTACATGATATTTAATTCAATTTAATCAATTGGATGCAGGCCTTTGACTAACAGTTTACCAGGACGTTAGTATTACAAGGTACTGGTGCCTCGTAGGTATCCGTCCCTATGTAGATAGTGAATGCCGCACGATCATCGGTTGATATTTTACAGTAAGTGTCTATAGCAATGCCTGAAATATTCTAGAATTGATTAATCATTTGGTGTATTGCTTACATTCTCCGTACCTAGGTTACCAACCCGTTTTACCTCGATTGCGGTTGCCATGGAGTTTTCATATGCAACAATTGTTATAATCATAGTAGCTCAGGACCTCCGCCTTACTTTTCTGGCAGCAACACTAGGTACTCTCACTCTTTACCTAAAGGCTGTTCAAATTTACGATATTACCTTATGTGTACCCCAGAGACCTGAAAGAACATCTATACTGGATTCCGGTAATTGGTGAGTCTGATTATCAGACATAGTTTCCACGCACAGTAGATAGTAACAATTAGAAGCCATTTGCAACCCTTCTTTAAAAGCTCGAGTCAATGACTTTCAGAAGCACGGTCGGTAATATCAAGATTCTTGCCTAGTGCTTCCCCAGCTAACCTTTGCTATCTAGAATTTATTTTCACAATACGAGAGAACCTTTCTCGCTTACCATTACCGGTCAAAAGTGGTATGTCCTGACAAAATTCGAAGACGTTACCTCATCTTTCAAAATTGATAATGGCACGTTGCCATTCGACATTTTCGCTATTGAAGTTATGCGCATGGTTGGCATACCAAAGCCCAAAGGAAGGCATTAGTAGAGCTTTTCAGAGGCAGGATGCAAACCTAGAGGCAAGGAAAAGACTCTATTGTTGCACGAGGAGCTCTAAGCTACCTCGTACTGGGAGACATGCTATAAGGTACAGAAATGCCTCTTTGTCTATCTGAGCTATCTAAACACTGAGAGACACCCTACCAAGGAACTCCTCTATAGGCCGATTCTAGCTCTGTGGCTATCACGGGATCTTCGTGGAAGGCTTGACAAACACCTTTAAGTACAGAAGTTTTATACTCTAGTAAATTTAGGTCAGTATTCCAGAGAATGCTTCACTGAGCTCACGATAGGTATCTTCTTAAAGGAACTTATAGAGATATATCAAGCTAACCCCTGAACGGTCCACATAATCTAAGTGGGTCTATGTACGAATAGTGCCATAGGACTTGTAAACCGTTGGATATAAAAAGACTGCGCCTCAAAACGTTCCAGCTGGCACATGCTGTCTCCGCAGATCAGCATTAAATTCCATTGAGGTAGACTGAAAGGAACCACCTACAATAAGTACGTAACCCTTCATTGACCACCCAAATTTGCCATCTAACCTTCCTCCACACTCGACTTCGGCGCCTTTGAAAATAATATCAGAATGGATTTCACACTACAAACCCCTATACCTTCCGTGAACATGCTCAGCGGTCATGTATCTGACAGTGAGATGACATTTACCGTCCATTGTCATGATGACTACTTCAGGAACGTGACAGCTTCCGATAGTGTTGGAAAACCCCTATTTCGCGTGGAAGGAGCGAAGTTCGGTACCTCGTGGAGCTGGCGGCGGAGGGTCTGGGAAAGTTCTAGCGACCGACATTTGTTCGATTTCCGTCATAATAGCTTCGACATCAAGAATGGATGGGTCGTGGAGAGTCCTGACGGTCGAAAACTTTGCTCGCTCGTGCATAAATCTCAGGTCACCAGGGACCACTCTTGCATAAACGCTACAGTCTGTACCGAGGCGGGCGAACAAGTTCTGGTGGTCATGAGACATAAGAACCATGAGGCCCTCGTAACGACTATCACCGTTGGAGACTCAACAATCGCGACTATCCACAAGATAAATAATATCAGCAGCATCAAATATAACCCCGCGATAGGCTTGGCGAAAAGGAGCGAAAGCGAGAGTGTCTGGGAGGTCCGGGTAGCTTCAGGGGTAGACTTAAGTTTTGTGAGTTCTCAAATGGCCACTTTGTTATGATTCGATACTCGATAGATGTGTCTAATACTATACCTAGATCCTGGCTTTAGTATTGTGTCGTGTGGAGATGGGACATGTATGGAAGCAGTGAGAGATTGGTACCAATTATAATGCCAGATAAATACCATCTTCACAGCTTCGGACTTCAATACAAGGTATATCGGTATGCGTTTCCCCATTACTGGCTACGTTTCCAAATACCCCGGTTGCCAGCCTTAAATAAAAGGCGTTAAATATTGTAACTACGCATAACCCCATCTTAAATCCTTTAAGACCACCGTAAGACGTATCACCATTCCCTGTGGGTCAATATTAGCACTGGCTTATAACGCTTCTGCGTCACAAGTCAATGCTAGTAGTACGATGGAACCAATTAGAATGAGGCAGTAGCATGCCATTGCATCCGCTTGCATATGTAATGTGATCCAATATATCGTGAATAGGGCTATTTGTAATCCATTCTCCAAGTGCGCTATGAAATATTTTAGAGGGGAAGTTTTGTGGGAATGAGGATATAATAAGACTTGCTAGTCACCCACCAACCATCAAAAATCCGTGCTAGCCCAGTCAGAGTTAACACAACGAATCCCAACGACAACAACATTCGACGCCCAACTAGTCGATAAATATCTTACTGAAACGCAATGGCCCCTTCTCGAGAACAACTCCTCAAAACGGCGAACCTCTGTATAGAGAGTTTCAACGAGTTCACGCCTGAAGCAGTAACGAAATATCTCAGCCCGTCCTGCCGCTGGATGTTGAAACCCAAAACCCTTAAAGCACCACCGCGAAACAGGACCGAATTCGGAGAGTTTATTGGGTCGTTGAAGCCCGCTATGCCTGGAGGGCTCCATTTATTTGTGGCTGATGGTCAGGAACCAGCCATTGATGTGGTCACTAGGAAAGTCACACTTTACCTGAAATCTCGTTCTGAGACCAAGCCCGGGTTATATGAAAATGAATACGTCTGGGTTATTACCATGAATGAGGATGGTACGGAGGTAGTTGAAGTAATCGAATTTGTGGATAGCTTGTACACAGATCTGTGGTTGGTTAAGTTGAAGAATGCGGCTGAAGAGGCGACGACGAAGTGATACAGAGAATCATCACTAGCATTTAGCTTTGGGAAAATGGCCATCCGAGTTTGACGGCGAGCCGAGCTTACTTAGAAAGGATGGGAGTCTCATGGATGTCTACCACATACCCTCCTTACCCCTACCTTTTTTTTTCAGTTGGTGATAGATAGAATCAAATACAAATCTATACCTATCTTGTCACGATGCAAACCAAGAAGCATGGAAAAGACTTCATTGTTGCACGAGGAGCTCTAAGCTACCTCATGCCAGGAGACCTACTATTATATACAGAAGGATCTCTTTGTCTATCTAAGAACCACCAGGGTAGTGAGGGATGCTGCTAGGGAACTCCTCTACAGGTCTATCCTAGCTCATGGGAATCTTCGTAGAAGGCTTGACATATCTAGAGGTTCACAAGAGAAAAGAAAACGTACCTAGTTATATCGATACTATGAATTCTCCACATTGTGCTAGAGTCGGTATGTGTCACTGGAGAAAGGGGCCGGAGATTATAAAAAGAGATCGATTTGGCCGCCAAGGGAAACAAACCTAATATCTGCTTGGAAAGCTAACGTTATAGTAATACCATTGATAGTAGGTAAGTACCACCATGCCACTCCGGTCTTTGTAGTTTATCAAGTAGATTCTTATACCTAGAATTGAAATACAATTCTGGCACTTAGGTATATATGTGCTGCTAGTGGAAACTTTCAGAGTTTGGAGCACGCTTTTTGAGCCTTAGATAAATTTAATATTATTTACGTTCCATAATCGTGGTTTAGTATTGGTAGGCACTCGATACATTAGGCACAACGATAGGAACTTAACCCTAGTCAACACCTCTGTTCTTCACGGACAGTATTCTCATTCTTACTGAGGTTTATGTCCTCGAATCTTTCAGTACCCAGGTATTTACAATTATCAGATTTCCAACTGTATTTACTATTAAAACCTTATACAATCTTCAGTAGTATTACTATTTGCCAACCAGGTTAGCTACCTAGTACATAGGTTACACAAGAAGCACATCCACAGATCATAACAATAGTGTTAAGTCACGAAAAAAAGTAAAAATATTCGCTGTGTCTTATAAGCGATGTGTATCTAATTAATCACATGTTGAAAGAACCGCTAGAAGAGTTAGAGTCTTAAAATCTTCCCAGGGTAAAAAAAGGTTAACGTTGGTTTCAGCCGTCTGCTATACTCCCTCCATGTTTGAGTCTCCCGTCGTAAGGATGCAGTCAGTGTACTCCTATTCTAGCGTCTAACAACTCATTTTATACGAACTCATGATAACTGAATCCTTACTCACTGGAGGTGATTAAAGGTGAAAAAAAATGATTCGAAGTACCTCTTTAGAAGAGGTGCATCGGGAATTGAGCCCGATGCGGGGGTCGAACCCGCAACCTTGAGATTAAGAGTCTCACGCTGTTTATAGGATTAGTATTGTATGCCGAAAGGAAGATATTGTGAGCATTAACTAACCTCTACCGATTGAGCTAACCGGGCAGATTCCGAACTAGGCGGAGGATGAGTGAACGGCGTCCAATTGCAAATTTTATACCCCATTTTTCTAGCAAAATTTTTTTCCAAGGCTAGCACAATTCTTTGCACACAGCACCCATGCGTTATGTAATAAGTTAAAGAATAGGGACTGATTGTATAATCAGAAATGGCTTTAGATTTTCATGCTTCGCCTAGAAAAGATCACCCGTATAAATTATATACGCGCCTAGTATATATAGACAGCAGGACTTGTGTGGCTATCTTAAACGCCTAAAAGTCTGTATTCTATGTCTGGGAGTTTTGGGCAATGGCCAAATACGTAGGTAGTAGGTAGTATGCTAAGGATAAATACAATACGATTGTTAAATTTGCCACTATACCATGGTGGAGTGGGTGAATATAAAAGTACGTAGTTAGTAGACGACAGACTTTGATGGATGGATGGATGGGTGGATAGATACCACCCAGGTAATGGAAGTCCCAGGAAATAGAAAATAAGTCTTGGTTAAGAAAAGTCTTGAAAGTCTCGTCACGTTCTATCATCCTTTGAGAGAGGCAAGGCTGTTACGAGAAGTCTAAAGGTTAAATGCAGATAATAATATTTCCTGAATGCCTGAAGTTATGAGAGTTTTCTATATAAGATACCTAGTAGGTTCCGAATACTTCATATCCACAAGATCCATGAGAGGTAAAATACATATATCGATGGGATATGTTATTAGAGGAAAGTTCAAGTGAGTAACATACTCCCCGTAGGTAATGTTGATATTATTGTTTAAGACTGAATTATATCAAAGTCGTATAGTTGATGGTTTGAAAAATATTAATCATCGTTCATTTTTCCCGGGGGCGTGGCTTGAATCGTCTGCTGATAAATTTAAATGAGCTGGCATGTTTTAGGTCTGGATATAAGTTGTGTTAGTAACCCTTTGCGATCTTCGATCCATGGGTAGATGTGCAACAATGCCGAACTTGGTAGGTGGGTATACGATCATGTAACATACCTCTGTGTAGAATCATGTCATATCAGATTTGACGATTCTGCAGGCTTTGTTTATTAAGGTGGTACAATCTCCGAAATTTTGACATCGCTCGTGGCGACAAGATCAGACGGATTTGATGTTTTGTCCCTGTCAATCACGGGAGCGGCGGTGATGAATAGAGTCAAGGAAAGTTGCACGATCCGTATCTTTTGTGTTCCCAGAAGTTGCGGAGGGTGGCAGTTGATGACTGAGTATCGCCACCTATGGCCCCACGCCTCCCTGTCGTGACAATGCGACGCTGCAACCTCATCTTCGACATCCGTTATCTATATTGGAAGAGTTGACTTAAAGCTATATCTACGGAATTTCGGTGATGATAGAAGCAACTCTTATATCTATAAATACTAGGTACTAAGTACAAGACGTTGATAATGATCTCTCATTGTTCGGTTTAAGTTAGACAGAAGTCGAATGGCACTCATGAGATTTCGTATTGGAAAACTACCTAGGTACTTACGGATTTAAGTACCAAGTAATAACTTCAGCTTCACTAAAATCGACGATGAGATTAATTACCAAATAATCGACTCTGAACTCCCTACCTATTACTAGGCATCTTTATTGGCACTCACTTTTCGAGCAAGGATTCCGGCGCTTGGAGGTCGTTGGTTACATAAGAAACCGTGGAATGCCAATCAGTCTATGTGGTGAGATGTCATGTATGGACCGATGTAGATCCGTGAGAAGATCCGTGAGAAGATCCGTAAGATAAGTACGTCACTCAAAAGCCAAGGAGCGTGGAGAAGGCTGACGAGGGATCCACGGATGTCAAATTGTTAACTTGATAAAAAAGTTACAGGTGCCAGGTGCCGAGGGTGGTGGTAGATAACGTCGATTCCCTCCAAGTTTAAGATGCGCGAATACGGGGCGTTGTCCGCTAGGATGTCCGTGGATCCCTCCAAGGATTTATCGTGGGGACGGAGTCGCACGGTTTGACGGTTGAATGTAATTAATGTAATTCGTTGTAATTCGTCTGTGTAATTCATACAAACCTTCGAACACGCGAATAAACCAAACAGGCATTGCTCGTGGATGATTGAGAAATCATGGATAATAGCAACGAATATGTATATGACATGGTGCTTGCGAGGGTGCTGCTCGATGGCGCTCGATCAACTGACAGGCAAAGCCGTAAGAGCCGTAAGAGCCGTCATCGTGACAAGGTGAAATTCAAAAAGTCTAAACAAAATGGTCAGAGCAGAAAAGAGCCGGAAGTGTGCCGGGATTTATTGATCCGGTCCAAGCTCTCAATTGATCGCGATGACCTGCAAATCTAAGATCAAGAGATTCGCACCCCCAAGGGTGAACCAAGCAACCTGCTTAGGCTTACCCTCTTTGGGCTTCCCATCGTATGACTTGCTGAGGTAATGCTGGTAGGGGTGTTAGATATTGGCGTGGGCTGGGTGGGCTGGGTTGTAAAATGTATTCAGGGACCCTCGGAACTGCAAGGTTTGCAAGGTTTGCTACCCTACCGCACCTTACCATAAACGAGCTCATTCAATTCACGCCCTCTCTCTCATAGCTGAGGTAGTACCTGTCTTTGATTGGCCAGGTCGGAGTTTAAATTCACACCTACTCACACCTCAAGTGCAACGTGCAGGGGAAGGTCTAGCCCCCGTACCAAAATAAGAATAGGACCCCTAGATCGGCAAAGGTACATTTGTACGATGTTAATCGTTGTTCCCGATTCTTAGAAGGCGTACTGGAGCCATCGATCGGAGACGCAACTCCCAAATCTGAGAGAGCGAAGGAAAGAGGCGACGCTGGGCAGTCTCAGACCCAACCCGAGCCCCATCTGCCTTCCGTAAATCTCGATGCGCTCGATGCAAAATACGATTTTTTTCTCGATTTTTCGATTTTTCTCACGAGCTCTTTCTCAAACATGACGATTTTCTCCATATATTGGCAAGAGCAACATCTACCGTGATTAAACGCGCGTTTATTTCTCTTAAAAATACTATTCCGTAAACATTTGTGAAGCTTTTTGGTTTTCCCTTTTCGTTGCTACCTTTTTTTTTTCATCCACACTCACAACATTCCACGATTTCACGATACCCACGATCCACGATCCAACCCCAAAAAATCATCAAACGAGTTAAAACGATTTCCTTCACGGAGCACGACTGCATCACCCGCATCAAATCTCCTACTATACATAATAATACTACCAGACAACGTTACTAGGTATTATACACACTTTACTACTTTAATACATCTATACGTCTATACGCCCATACGCCTTGGATAATTTGCACTCTCCCACACTCTCCCACACTCTCCCACACTCATACAACATCCCGTTCAATAATAACAATACACTTACTCCATTCGCCGGGAGAGTCAAACTACCATCATCTCCACCATCTAAATTGACCAACACGAACCATACCGAAACTGTCTAGTCCCTCTCAACAGAGCTAAACTAGACTAAGGGTCTTTCCAGTAGGTATGACGTTGCATTGTCAACTTTTCACGAATCCAGCCCCCGTTTCGCTTACGACAAGCCTGCATCCCGACGGCATCTTGCAACCATGCTTCTACTACATTCTAGCACTCCCCTGATAGTGAATATCGTCGACCCATTCGCTACAAGCCACGATGCGCCGTCAACCCTCCTCTTCAAACCCCTTAAGCCTAATAATATCACTTTTCTATTTTACTGCATCTTAATTCAATTAACTCTTTTATTTTTTCTTTTGCCGCAGTAACCACTGACTTGCTTGCTATGAATCTAGAATATCCTCATTAGCGACTATGTTGTCGCTGATTTCTTCCGCTATCTCTATACATGATTAATTGAACTCTTACTCCCCGAAACATTACCAGTATACGAAGGTATAAGTCGATGTGAGCACGATGCCCGATTCAAAGAATGTGCCGGCGGCTTCTAGGCCTCCACCTGTCACATACAAGAATCCGAGACGAACCTCAGCCGAGACCTCTGTCACTTTGCAAGCACATCGCCTAGCTCGAGCACGAAATGCTTCCCCTACAGCTGTTCACTCAACTCCTAGAAGAAATTCCTCAGGCGACAGCAACGAGACAGGCCAGAGTGCCAAGAATTGGTTCGAAAGTTCGAATCAAAATGCGATGGCCAATATGGACACCAGAGCGATGGATCTCGATCCTCCATTCTACCAAAAAGAAACCGACGACTCCAACGAAGACGTAGCGAAATATGGTATTTCCTCACATAGTCCGGCCTACGAGTTTATTCAGAGTCGTTTACCGGATTTTCGACCCGGTGTAGACTCATCTAACGAAGAATTTCGCTCCGTCATAGACGATCTTACTGTTGAGAACAAGCGCCTGAAGGAAGAGTTGAGGAAATACAAACAAATGGGTCCTGATTCGTTACGAAGAGACAAGCTTTTCGAAGTTAAAGTCCACGGACTATCTAGCAGAAAGAAGCGAGAATTGGAGGCCGCACTACGCGATTTTACAACTAATATTGAGGATTCGAGCACCGGAGCCTCACCAGGTCGCAAGAAGTCCTCCAGCAAGTCTAAGAATATCCACTCCTCGCTCTCAAAACATGCATCTTCATCTTCAGGGACGGGGTCCAATGCGAAACCTGTCGATTCTGCGTATGCGTCTATGTCAACTGGCCCAAGCTCATCTGTTCCATCACTCCCTGGCCAAGCTAAAGCTGCACGGCAACGAAACGAACAGAAAATTGAGAACTATTTACGAGATATCCCTGAAGGCTTGTGGCCACGACCTACCGTTATGACCGAGAAGGAAAAGAAGAAGCTTGTCGTCAAGCGGCTCGAACACCTTTTTACAGGCAAAATGGGCGACCCGTCCGAACACATCCAGTTATCCCTTGTGCCCGGGCTCATTACTGAAGACGTGCAAATGGAAGGGACTGACGAGAAGGCTGCACTACCACAAGCACCCTCGACTGCTGATACTTCAAGAGAAGCTAAAATTCGACCACGCCAACTTAGGCGGAAAGAA